TAAAAATTTGTTCAATATGCACCCTTATTGTAATGACTTTTTTTTTTCAATCAAATAAAATATACATGTATTTTAATTTAATGTTAAAAAGTGCAAAAGGATACCTCATCTTGTTTTAATTGTAATACCATAAAAAAATTATATTAATTATGTTATAAAACGATTAACTGCTTGTATGGATTATCCACAGTTTAACAGATTAAAATATGCAAGCAATGTACCATGAATTGGCCAAAAACTGCCCACTTTGCCGATAAATCCTGTTTTTATTGTGGATGTTTGATAATGTTCACGATATACAATACCTTTTTTTAATTCCGTACACATAACATTATATATACTTTCTTTTGACATATTTAGGGTTGATGCAACTTGCGTCTGAGCAACATAATATCCTGTTCAAATTAAAAAAGTGTAATAAAGTAACAATAATAATAATTCCTTAAAGAAAATTTGTCAATTACGATAATACTCAAAAACACAATTGAGGCATTGCAAACCAAAACGAATTTAATGTCAAAATTTTCAAAATTAAGTTTAATTAAATTAAATTTGTATTTAAAGTACTTAACTCGCAAAAGGCTTAAAGTACTTAACAATTACTCAGTTAGTAATAACATTCGTACAACCCTACCTGTTCCAATAATTATGTTAATATTCTGTCTTAAGGACACATTTTTCTATTTGTCCCATATGTTAGAACATCTCAAACCATGATTGCTATTTTCCACAATTGTTTTCTTATTATGTTGTCTGAACTGCAATATTTCACTTTGACTAATTATATCTTCCTTACCAAAAAATTTCAAATTGTTCATATTGCTATACCTAAATCAAAATATTGTATTAAATATTAATATTTTATATAATATATATTAATAATTTTATTTTAATAATTGAGTTGCTTGACTGTTCATGTTTGGAGCACATATGAAGAAACATTCTTCTGAGATATCAGAGATATTTAGATTGACTTACGGATATAGATTAAGATAGCCGCTACCTTTCAATGTAATTTTTGTATGATCTCTCGAAAGCTCATGCGAATACGGAGCTCGCTTAAAACAGTTGAAAAAATCGCCAAAAAGATGCTCGTGCGTTAATGTAACGCCGAGTTGATCCAGCAGTACAGGTCCTGTTACTACACAAAATGTAAATAATGTAAAAAATAAATATAGAAAAATTCTCGAAAGACTACATTGAGATATTTGAAACTGTAATTACATAGTAAAATAATTGTAGTGAAATAATTATGACAATACCAGTGTTGAATTAACTATAATTTGCATAGTTGGAAGATTTTTATAAAAATATAATTGGTGTCAAAACGAGACAAATGGT